ATTGAAAGCAACTGAAAATACCCAGTTGCTCTCAGTTGCCCACGTGCTCTATATTCTAGCGATTCAAGGCAACTGAAAATGCTAACAAAGTTATGTCTACCAAAATAATTTGACATGGTTTATGTAAAATGTAATGGTGTTTGCAAGACTTGTGAAATATTTTATTTCATGCAACAAATCATAAAAGACTATTATAATGCCTATTCTAGTCATAATAGGAAGCTTATACAAATGTACAACCATTGACCATTGGCCATTTTGCGATATTAGTAAACATTCTTTTCAGACATCATTTATAGGTCATTAGAACATGATCTCAGGGCTGCTGGAAATAAATCCATTAATATTGGCGTTATTAATGAGATTAGCAAAATTGAAGTTTCGCTAATCGCTAGCAGGGAAACAGTTTTAATTGAAAATATTTAGCCATAACAATTAGTCTGTATTGTGAGGGAAGTCTGTACAACATGTTTTATTTTAAATGGTAGGTAAACAAAGGTAATTGATTTTTAGGTAGAAACTTTAAACAGTTATAATAATTAATAAATTTCGAAATGTAAAAGTATTTATAGCAATTGATAGCCAATTAAGTATATGCATATTTTCTCTTGTTTTCCATTTTGATAACAACATTCATTGTTTTATAATAACTTATATATACATATTATGGTTATATAGATGTAGGATTATTGCTTTTTTTTTACATTTTGAAAAAGTATTTATATTTAATAATTTTAGTGAATTATAGTTTGCTTTGGCAATAAATATGCCAACTTCATAGACCCACGCAATACAATTGATTGGCGACTGTTTTTGAGGGTTTCACGAAACATAATACAGGGAGATCCCTAATTATTTAAGGTAAACCTACACAAATGTAATTTGAATTTTAACTTTGGAAAGTCAAATATTTTGGAATGGGAAAGCATGTTGATGAAGAAGAATGGAAATTAGGGAATTTTTAAATCTCAGAAACAGAAACTATCTTTGGATAATTATGTCACAGAAATTAAATGACTGTTCAATACAAAATTTATGAAAACATGGGACCTTCATCTATGAAGTTGTGTCCCTGCCCCCTCCCCCCATTTCCTGGACTGCCAATGACAAAAACAATTAATACTATTTATATAGGTATGTTAAAAAAAAATTAAATTTGATTGGATGTCCATAATTCTGATATCACAAAATCTACCAAGTGTTATAACATTAAAAACGTTTACAAAATTAAATTTGGTTGTATGGTTGATTTTTAATGATTTTTAAAAATATTTATTTTTTGGTGAAAATTTGGCTACAGGCGTTATATAAAGTTTGTGACCTTTTTACTAATTTGTCAATTCTCATTGTGTATACCTTGAAAAAAAAAATTAATTAGTTTCTATTCTTTGCTTTGATCTATACATGCATTATTTGACTAATTTATTATTACTACAGGGGTATTATTATTTTTAATTGCTTAAAAACTAATAATGTAGGCCTATGCAACACCAGGATGCTTGTGCTCTATATTCCTGTCAACAACACATATCATCCAATCAAATTTCAAATTCAATGTCAAGTGATCTATACAGACCAATTACAGGCCAGAATTGCCAAAATTGCCTAATAAGACGCCATATGCAATTTCGTGACGGTAATTCTCAATTATACACGGGTATATTAATCGCAAAATATCATTATAATAAATCAAAATCTTTAAAAATATTCTATTATATAATACTAAACAATGATTATATTGGACATATTCATCAGTAATACAGAGTTTATGTGTAAATTTAATAACAATTATGCCGTTTGAATCATCCTCCAATGTACACATCTTTCGATCAGCGGACATTTTTATGCATCGGACTCGAGAGTCATAAGATTTGAGAAAATCAAAAAAATTGTTGAGAAGCATTAGATCTAATTCATACTTGGCATAGATATTAAATATATAATTCTTAAAATTACAGGATGGTTTAATTTAAAATTTACAGAGCTTACAAAATATGTGTAAATGATGCTTTATTTCAAAGAAAAAGTCCCGTACACTGTAACTCCGTGACCGATCAATGAAAAAAATATTTTTAAATAGCGCAAGTAAACTTTGACCTGTTTACTTTGTAAATAAGTTCAAAGGTTAGCGAATGCAACCAATAAACGATTTAATATGATTTTTTCTAATCTGGATGCAAGATGCAAAACCAAAACAATAATCAGCATCGGCGTCGCGACAACGATAACAGTGCGTGACGTCACTCTTCTAACATACCTAATTTATATTATATCTTCAAAATCTATTAAGACCTCAAAATATTAAAGATATCTGGGCTCGATGGAGCTCCGCCCACTCAACCCCAAAAAGGTTCTGTCGCTTGGTAGCCCATAGTCATTTTGGTCCACTTTCTACAAATTTGCACCTACCCAATAAAAACCTGTTTTAATATTTAGTAGGCCTGTTACACCTCTATCAACATTTTTTCAAATCTGAAGTGATCTGAAATTTTTTCATAATATGTCAGCAGGGAGATGTAAAAATTCATCTCAGATAACATAATAATTTGGTTCAGTATTTTAATTTGTTTGAACCATTAAGATATTGATTGGATCTATTGCACTGAACAACATAAATTAATATAATATTTACCCTAAAATTCTCTGTTAAGTTTTAGGTGTGCATGAAGTGTCTGCAAAAATAGAAATGGGTTTTTCCAGGTTAGTCATGTGACCTTATAGGCTGGTTTCTTTGTGAGTGCTATCAAGCATAGCATGATGAAATCAGTCATGCAGTGACTTAGAGAACTCTGTAAAGTTCAGGTTCATTGTTCTAGCTGATATCAATCCAAGTCAAACTTATATTCAGGTTGCAGTTAAAAAAATAGGCTCACAGCGGGAGCATGTGTCTGCTGCCTTATACAGGAGTTTTTATTTTTGAATTTAATCTTACGTTCTTCAATATGCAGATGTGTTTGTCATTGTAGTGTATCTGAATTTTTCGTGAAAATTGTCTTTCATAACAATATTCTGTATACTACTAGGCCTACTGTATTATATTGCACTAAAAACACTAAAAAAGATTAACTCTTGGAGTCACCACGTTATGTCGTTGATCTCGAAAACAATTCCATTATGTTTACAAATGTGTAAAAAATGACAAACAAAAATCAATGATAAATCAACCAACAATTTAAACATTTGATTTGGTTAAATTTACATATGTATAAAGACTAAACAATTAAAATTATATAAAGGGCAGAATGAAAATGTGTATAAAGACCATTGATAATTAATGAAAAAAATTAAAAGAATTAAGTAGTATAAAAATAATTATAAAAATCAAAATTTAAAGGTAATTCAAAATTGAGGGATTTCACTGTTCATTGAAACAAATAATAAAAATAAAATAATAATTCAATAAATGGATCCTCATCCATGCAATTAAAAACCCTTTATTACTTACAGTGCACAGTACTGGAAATGGAGAAATTGAAGATGTCAAGCATTTTTTACTAAATTGTCCCACTTACAATATCATTAGAAAACAACATTTAACAAATCTTGAAAATGACCTACTCTGTAACGATTATGAGACAAGGACACTTTTTTCAACAACAAATGATGATATTAAAATTAATTTATTTAAATTATTCAGTCTTCTAATATTTGTGATACCTCTATTTTTGATAATTTCTGTAAAAATACATCATGAATGCGTGGGAGAAACGCTCACAACTAAAAAATTCACAACAATAGTATAAATGTATTTTTGCTTATCAAATTGTGTAATGTTAATGTTTTTTTTTTCTTTTACACCAAAAGTGGATTCTACATTGTAGTCAGTATTTCTTAAGTAGTCCTACTCTGGTATAATCTTTTTGTTGTAAGACGTTTTAATCTTTAGATTTTATATTTTTAGGTTAGTTATTTTAAGTATTTACATTACAGTAGACCTGTATTTT